GGAGCTTACACCCCCATCCGATCTGTTTGTATTTAGCCCTATGCCAGTCAGCAGCAGGACATTCTTGCACCTGCTCATGTAAATCATATGTACTTATGGTATATGACGCAGAATGCGGTTGCAGCGGTACCGCTATAAGCTGCATTCTAGGTTTCGCGGCAGCTATTCTGCATGCCCGGCAGGACCGGCAGGCATTTCAACCCCCCCCCGCTCGGCCATCCGATCTTTTCTATATAGCCCTACGCCCGTCAGCAGCAGAACATTCTTGCACCTGCTCATGTAAATCATATGTACTTATGGTATATGACGCAGAATGCGGTTGCAGCGATACCGCTATAAGCTGCATTCTAGGTTTCGCGGCAGCTATCCTGCATGCCCGGCAGGACCGGCAGGCATATCCAGAGCCCACACCCCCCATCCGATCCATCCGAAAAATACAGATGCGGACAGCTGTCAAACAATATAGGTGACCCAGAGCGCGGCTGGAGCGCTACCGCTCGATGACCTACTCAAAACCATCCCTACTATGAAGGTCCTGAACCTATACTTTTCCTATCCCCGTGCAGTGTATATGACTCTTTATACAGTGGAGGATTGGTCAATAGGGAAAAGATTTATTTAGGTAGCAGAGCAAGCGGCACACCCGGCAGGATCGGGCCCCCAATGAAACCAGCTTTTTTCCCTGCCGGATGTGACGGTCATGCCGGTTATGCCGCCCTGCCCGGCACCCCTGTAAATAGTACGTGTAATATGTATTTATATTGTGTTTAGATACCTAATGATATGTACACCTACTATATTAGACTAATACCAGTACTTCAGTATTTATCATCGGCACTATCGGCACCTAGCCGGCAGCCGTGACGGTTGTATGGGCTGGGGAGCTGCGTCCGCACGGATCCGCATCTCCGTTGCCAACGCTGCCGGACAGCATCCGTATCTCCGGTCTCATCGGCAGCAACAGCAATATAGGATTGCTCTTGCGACGTCTGTGTCTCCGGGTTCATGATGTCGGCCATGTTAGATGTTGTAGACGAGGTTGTGGACTGGGCTTGTGAAACTGCGAGGGGACTGGGGAGTGCGGCTCTATGTGGTGTTGGTTGGGCGAGTGCGGGTGGTACTGGAGATCCTGCGCGGGAGGAGTTATAAGGGCGGGTGATGGAGAATTCGATCTCCTCAGGTGTGGGTCCGATGTTGAGATCTATCTGTAGCCGAGACAACCAAACGTATGGGAAGTTGGGGTTGGGTGTGATGTAGTAACACCACCTGTCGATAACGCGGTGGATGAAGTGTTTTCTTGCTAGAAAGTCAAAATAGACTCCTCTTGGATGATACACGGTGACTTAGCAGAGGATGAGGGGGTCTAGGTGTTGAAGGGGATCAAGTGCGAACTTGCAATGTTGTAGCGAGTGCTAAAGGCAGCACGTATGCCAGAGTATACATGTGGAGGTGGGCAAAGGCGGTGATTGTGGGAGCGGGTGGTGCGCGTTACGGCTTGCTCATGTGTTGGGCGGATGACTGTGTTCCACGAGATGCAGGGTTTGCCGGTACTAAAGGTGAGGATGTCGAGGACAATCCAGTTGCTGTTGGTACCAGCATATGGGTCGGGGCCGATGTCGCGGATCAGGTAGAAAGTTCAATGGGTGCGCGTGGAGTGGCGATCCTTAATCTTCTTGACCGGTATGTAGACGTGACTGTAGCGGATGCAGTCGGGACCGGAGAGCTTGTCGAACCACTTGAAGTGATTCTTGGTGGTGACGATGGGGTCGGCGGCCGGGAAGGTGGGTTCCGGGCGGATGTTCAGATCAGATGTGTCAAAGTTAATGAGGAAGAAGGCCACTACAGCTGTGTCAATAATACACGGGGCGGAGTAGGGAGAGTTTGTCCAAATGCTAGGGCCGCACTTAGGGGAGATCTCCGAGCCGCGCTATTGGCACTCAGATGGACAGACAGACAGATGCCAAGTGCTTGAACCCAGTAACAACACAAGGGTACATGATGGCAGAGACAGAGGAGACAGAGGAGACAGAGGAGAACACCACAGAGGGTAGATTGCAAGATGGATGAACTAAAGGAGCTTAGGTACATGGGGGGAGAGTCTTATATACAGGTCAAGGCAGTGCGGGAACGGGATGACAAAGACGGACAAGCGGGTAGATGACTGAGTGAGCCGGGCCCCGCTGACAAGGGAAGGGTGTATAAGCGGGCCGAGTTATACGTGAACAGTGTGAGTCATGCGAGTCCGCAGTCCGTGTGCCAGGATGCCGAGATGCCGAGATGCCGAGTCAAAAAAGAAAAGAAAAAGGAAAAGATAAAGATATTGCTGAGTCACGTGACAGCCGAACCATAGCATATTGTATAGGCAATGTATCTGGCTGTGGTGGTTGACAAGCTTGCACTATAGTACCGCTATTGTATGCTCTCGCATATGAAGATATGACAACCTCTAGTTTTGCCGCATAAACCAGCGACTGACAAAGGAATAAACCCCCGGCCGATGACACTCTAGGCTGCGCACCAGGAGAGTGGAGAGGTTGCATATTTCGCAAGCGGGAGTGCACACAGCAGGTATGGGGGAAGAGCATGGTGGTCGATGGTGGTAGTAGTTAGAGTAGGAGATGGGCGCAACTTTTGAGCCCTAGTTTCGCACTGGGACCCCCAAAACGCGGTCAACAAAATCACGCATGTGCCACAATTAGAGCTTGCTGCTATCCCTGCCTCTGCCAACTAGACAGGGCAATAGACTACAATCACGCACACACAAGACGGGTTGTA